CCATATCTCTTCAATTGATGCTTCTCCTAACACTTCTTTAATTTTTCTCATTTCTGTTTCCGTTCTAGATGTATATTCTCTTGCAAACTCCTCTTCTTTCAGCTTATATGTTTTGACTTTTTGTATGCATATTTTCCCAGCGTTTCCTATTGCCCTTATCGCTTTGTACTGTTCTGCAGGAACCTTCATTTTTGACATTACTAAGTAGTGATCAGAATATATTTCGGATCCTCTATATACTCGTGTGTCCATTATTTCCTTCCTGTGATATCTGTCTATTATAATGTAATCTATTATAGATCTCTCCCCTCTGCTCCTTACTTCCCTCGTGTATTTGTGTATATCCTTGTGTGCATAAAAAGTGTTTGTTATTATTAAATTGTTTAGCAGGCAGAAATCAACCAATCTTCTTCCATTATTATTTAACGTAGTTTCGCCATATGTACCAATGGTTTCTCCAGATTCTTGGTTCCTTTTACCTACTCTTCCATTTAAGTCACCAATTATTAGTAGTCTTCCCTTAATCTCTTCAATTTCTTCTGTTAACTTTTCCCAGAATTCATCTTTTATTTTCACTGCTTCATTTTCATCTGGTCCATATACTACCAATATTGATGTTTTGCTTTGCTCCCCGATATCCAATTCTACATGTAGTAACCTCGCTGTAATGCCCTTCCATTTGTATATGTGTTTTGCTTTGTCCTTCTTTATTATGCAACCCACTCCTTCCCTAGCTCTGTTACTATGTTGCACTCCGCTGTATATGAAGAGATGTCCACTATCTAGTACTATCTCTCCAGTTCCTTTCTTCTTAGTTTCAGTTATTCCTAAAATGTCTAAATCTGCTTTCTCAAATTCCTCCTCTAATTCTTTTTCCTTATCCATTATGCTTCTAACGTTCCAAGTACCAATTTTTAGAATGTAATAATTGTCCGTGCCTTTTGATTCGTTTGCCGATTCCATTGCCTTGTCCGTCGTTATGTTCCTGCTCCCTGGAGATCCTACCCGTTTTTTGTCTGAGCGTCCTCTTCGACAAGCCGATCTAGTTGTAGATCCCACCTCCAATTCTTACCGTTAATAGTCATTCTTTGGTAACTGGTCCTTACACGATTTCCTTTCTGTCTTTCCTCTCTTGCTCTGTTCCTGATTTCCGATTGTATTCTCCCTTCCTCTTTGGTAAGGTCGTTTTCTATGTAGATTTTTGCTTGGCCTAAAACTTTCTTTTTTTTCATGATTTCCAGTTTATCCTCCCAATTTTCTAGTTCTACGCATAGTATTGGAAAATCATCTTTTGTTGGAATTTTTCTCACTTGCCTGATGTGGGGAGTTGCATCCAGTTTGGTGCTCAAGAATGTTTCCGTTTCTTCTTTAATTCATCTTTATTATTTTGCATATCCTCCTTTATTTCACACCTCATGGAGTTAATGAGGTCTTTTATTTCTTCCATCTCGTTCTCTGTAGGTTTTCTTTGCTCTTCCCTTGAAGGGCTACGCGAAGTTTTCTTACTCCTTTGGGATGGGTCCGGCGAAGCTTTATTTCTTTTCCTTTTATAATTGGCATCTACCGTTTCTCCAAGATCGCTACTCATTTATTTCAGCGCTGAGTTATTGTGCCTTTACCGCTAGTTACACCACTAGCTTTAATCTAAATTAGCTAATGATATTTGTACCTAACAATAAATTCCTGTCATTAAGCCTTATAATTGGTGTAGGTTTTTAGATTCAGTTTTCAAAACAAAATGCAGATCACTTAATGTGCCTAGGTTATCTTTTAGCGCGTTATTTAGAATCCGTATGCAATTATAGTACCTAATTTTCCATTGAAACTTGATGCCTTTGTAGGTAGTATTTCGCGGCCAGATTGCTGGCTTGCGTTTCACAACTCTTAATAAATTGTTACCTTATGAATTAATGATAATGTAATAATTGTAACCTAGTTCTAATTATACTATTGCGACAGCGATGTATTTGCCGCAGCTTCCTTGTTCCTCTGTTTAATATCTTTTGGTATTAAACAGCGATTCTTCACGACCGTTTTACCCAATAATTTTTTTACCCCTAAGTCATATGACGATCGGTTCTCGAGATATGGCCGAGGAACATTCTTATTGGGTCACCCGATACATCGAACACAAGTCGCGGCACCGTGTAAGCCCTTGGCCACGATATAACAGTCGGGCGGGATAGATGTCGTTGCTTCATAAGCATTAACCTATGCGTCACTTACGCTTATTCGCTCAGGCCGTTCTCCTATCCGCCACCTGGGGACGCGCGTGGTAGGGTACCACCCCTCTGGTTATGATAAACATTTGACGGAGTGGAAAGGGAAAAAGGAAGATGGGAAAATTTACAAAGGAAGAACCCTATGGAGAGACAAGGTTGAGGGTAAGAAGGGAATGTTTTGGACATATTAAGACAAGGATGCTCACTTAGCCCAACCTTATTTAATCTCCACTTAAATGACACGGAAAAAGTTTTAAGACAGGGCCAAGGTCGAGGGATAGTGGTAGGATCAAGAAAGACATGGAAAGGAAAAGAATAGAGCTAAATGTAGAAAAGTCGAAGATGATGAGGTTTGGGAAGGGGATGGAAATGAAAGGGGGAATGCAAATATTTAGGGTACCAAATGCGGGTCGGGTACAAGTCGCCGCCGCCGTCTCGCCGCGGCCAATTCGCCGCGGCCATCCGGCCGCGAACCCAATTGGCCGCGGAACCGACTTGCCGCGGACCTTCTCGCCGCAGATCATCCCTCCGCAGACGATATTATCTGACCAAATAAACAAAAAGTATTTACATATTTCAATTGTTGTTTAAGGTTTTATTTGTCCTCACTGCTGAAAGAAATTAGGTACCTATATAGGAAGCTTTCTCTAGTCCATCATTGTTCTCCTTAGCTTGATGTTATTTGCATTCCTTTATCTAAATGAATAATTAATTAGGTACATGCAGGTAAGTGGTCTATACACAAATTCTTTTGTTGTTGTTATGAATG